CATAGAAAGAAATTACAAGCTCCAGATTTCTGCATTCACAATTAATTCATAGTTTACTTCACCAAAATTCATTAAATTTTCAGATTTGAAATATGTTTACCAAGAACCCAGAAATAGTACCCCATAGTTTTTGCAGCCGTGAAATCTTCTTGAAGGATTTGCTTCTGTCCATGAAGTAACTACTCGACACTCTTCAAGGCAGCGGCAACGCACAACTAAGTCTCCATTGTAGTATTCATCCTTTCCTCGATAAATCTCCGTTGTTGCTTCAAATCGATTTGCGCCATTATTACTTGAAACGCTACCTGAACTTGATGCTGCTTTGGTCCAATTTCTCCTTACCTGCATTTGCAATGATTCTGTACACAATCTGAGAATTTACGCAAACTACCCGTTTCTTGGATGAACCCTAGCTCTCCAATTCAACTTAAGCTCCTCACTTTGATTTCGGAGTCTAAAGCTCCGCACTTAAGCTCCTCATTTTGTTACCGTTTTAGAGCCCATAAGTGAAGTTCCAAAAGTAGCCCTCATTATGTGGTCGATTTCCCGCCCATTTGATATTTTGTGGTGGCGCCGCTGCAAAGGGTCTCAATTGGATTTGCATTTTAAGTTAAGGTATCCAATTGGCCAAGAATAAAATAAAGGGACTAGATCGGCACAAGTATAAAAGTATAGGGACTAAATTGGCCATTTTCCCTAAAGAGTGTCGTGCGAGACCTGTGCATAAACTAGATCTAGCTTTCAAGTCGTTCTTGAGAAGAGAGAAAGTAAAAAAACAGAGAGAGTGAAAAGGGAAAAACAATGATAAGAAGAAAATGCCCTCATGTTATTCAGCTTATTTACTTTTCTTTGTGTGAACATATGTATAGGAAAAAGCTAAAACAAAACAAAATACATGCACAAACAAGTAATTACTAAAGTTAACCAAATGATGATGATGATGATGAGAAGAAACTATATTCTCTGCTTTTCTCAAGATGAAGAAAGAAGGGAAACTGAGGGTCAGTCTCCTGACGGAAAACTGTATTTGAATGGAAGGAAACCATTCTAGAAAAGTAAAGTACAGGACAATGACGTTAAGGAAAATGAAAGTTACTCTCCTATATGCATGTTTAGCTAATAAGAAAATATTTTGTGGGAAAATAGGAAGTGCTAATGATAGTTATTAAAATAGGGTTTAGCAAATGGGTGCACACTCGTTAAAAGGAATTTCAAGTGTTAATTTTTTTACAAAAATAAAATCAATGCAGAAAAGATATCTAAATAAAGAAAGAAAAATTTTATGTGCTCTAACAAGTACCTAGTTGACAAGAAGTTAGAAAAATTTTTCAACATGATTTAGTTTTATGGCAAGTTTTTCCTTCACAAGCTTGCAAATTTGAGAGTAAGAAACAGCAAGAAAATGCAATAAAATTTTCAAAGGCAAAATTCAAACGTTTACTTTGCCTTTAGCACCATTTCCGGGTAACCAAATGCAGAAAGGAAAGGACTGCTTACCCTTACTTTCCCATACTTTTCTTTAAAACAAGCACAATAAAATGAATTTTTCTAGGGCTGCTTACCCTCGTCTTGCCCCGAAAATTTTGTCATGGGCTCTGAAATTCTGTTTGCTGATCTTTCATAGTCATTGTCTAATCTTCCAGATGTAACATCTTAATGTCTCTTCCCTTCAATAAGGGCACTGATCTCTGATAATCACTTTAGAAATCCTAATATGGTATAACGCGTGTCAAAATTCGAGTTTTCTCTTGCATCAATAATCCTGTTTGATGATTTTTTTTTTAAGGGTATAACAGAGAAACAGAAAGAAATTCCGCCTGGATTCTAAGTTCAATTTTTCTATATGGACTAAGAAAGAACAAGATTAAGCATAGGATTTATATGAAGTTATCATTTGGGTAGAATCTTTAGAATTTTTACAAGATATTAACTTTGGTGATACAAACTTTGAATGCACAAATTTTTCACTGAGCAATGAGCTCTGTTGGTGATACAAGTAATTCAAAACTATCAAGTCCAACTTTTGTTGTGATCCTGTACTGTACAAACAAATGTTTCGGATTCGATATGAAGAATATAAACCTAGCAATAACGAGCAATGCCCGTGCATGTATTCTAGCCTTTCGCTTGTTTTTGTTTCTTTCTTCCCCCTCCCTCCAACGCCACCCCACCTGGAGAATTATCAAGGGATAATCGTAGCACCAATGTGCCTTAGTTTTAGGGCCTGCTTGTTTTGATGTAAAACGTTTTCTGGAAAATACTTTCCGAGTTTTTCAACGTTTGGACACCATCTAATTTGGGAAAATAATTTCTTAGAGAAAATCTCTTACGCCAAGAGACAGAAAACCAATTTTAGACTCTAGTGTTTTCTTGATGAGCTTATATATATTAGCGGATTTCAAGGTCAATTATAGCTGCAGTAAGGTGCACAAGTCAGAATGAATGTATGGGCATACGTTTTGTAAACTTTTGCAATTCATTGAAGGATCTCGTAGCATAGCTGCTGTTTGATATCTATCTTCTCCCTTGAAGAGATAAAAAAAGGTGAAGATTGTATATTTCCTTTTTTGTTGGAAAAATGGAAGCTTAAAGAATTAAAATCAATAAAGCATTTTATGAGATGGATTCTTCATTTATTCTAGCCTTGTCACATAGGATTTATACAGCTTTTAAATCTAAGAGTGCATCTGATAAAATTGAAATATAAAATTTGAAGTCTGAAATCTGAATTCATTAAATTATTGAATCGTTCATTATTGAATCTGATATAACTCATTGTTTGAATACTGAATACAATACGCCTGTTGAATAATTATAGACAACTGAATACTAAATTTCATATAGTTCATATTTATTCATTAATGTTGTTATTAAGATGTTATATTTTATTAATAATATATGTAACTTAATTTCATTGAAAATAAGATATTAAAATAATAAAAAAGAATGAACCACATAATAAAAATAAAAATACATTATCACAAATTTATCTAAGAAAAAACAAATTTGTTTGAGAAAAAATAAATTTTAGCACAATCTATAATAGTTTCATGTGCCCCTTTGTTAACATCTGTAGATACAGTAAGAAACTTTTAATTTGATATAATGAAAGTAATGAATCTTGCATTTATATAAAGTGATAAAGTGAATAACTTATCACTTTTTTCTGCAATATGTTTTGCCAAGACAATTTAGAGCCACTTTAAGATATCACATTTTTTTATTATCAAACACATCTAGACATAGTAAAGGTTGGTAACTATTAAACTTCAGTACTGAATTGAACTATCAAACCGAATCATTTAGCACTCAATTTTTCAGAAAATTTTTCTCCTGTTCATCACTAGGTAGAACACATATTACCTCACATCAAACAAGATGTTCTTACTCTTGATTCTTTTCGCTCCAGACCATAGAATATTGTTCACCATGCTATATTTTATTGGACATGATGGATTGGATAATCTGTTAAACTTCTACTCAATCACCTAAGAGAAGACTGTTCAGAAACAACCTAAGGTCCACACTGCATTTTATTAAAATTTCACTCATCCGTAAGAGAGGGCTGTTCAAAGAATATCCCATTGTCCATGCTACAGTGCAGTTTATCAGGCCTCAACCCCAAAATGACAGTTATCGGCACTGTGTGAAAACGCTGATTGTCAACCACTTGGGATCCTTCTACATCCCATCAGCCAGTATTTCACCTGCTGGGCTGGGGCAACGACAGCCAGCAGATGCCCGGAAAGAGGGAAGCCCATCAAAGAATAGTCCATTAGGGATAGGAGAGTATCATGAAAGGAGCAAATTTGTTGGAAATGTTCACAATTTTGCAGTTGAGGTGAGGGGAAGATAGGCATGGCCACGGTTCCAGAACCAACGGTTCTGGTTCCAGAACCGCCGGTTCTGGTTCTTCAAAGAGGTAGAACCAGAACCGCACCATATAAGATGGTTCTGGTTCTGGTTCCAGAACCGGCGGTTCTGGTTCTTCAAAAAGGTAGAACCAGAACCGCATAGTTCTGATTTCGATTCCTTATGGTTCTAGTTCTGGTTCTGGTTCCGGTTCCGGTTCCGTATGGTTATATACAATTTTATTTAATTTCTTATCCTTACCAATTTTAATACGAATATAACAATATATTTAAAATTTTAAATAAAATGTAAAAAAATAAATACAAAATAAATATCATATTTTAATTTTATTATTATTCTACAAAGTACGAAATAATAAATAGATAATAGATGAAGAAATTGAGAGTAGTTTAGAGATGGAAGAGAGAAGATTGATTTTGGTGTAGTAGAAAATAAAATTTCAAGTCTTATTTATAGGACAAAATGAAATTAAAAATTTGGAACGTTGTATTGTAACGTTCCAAATTTGTAAAGTTGTATTGAAAATTTGGACAAAATTACAACGTTGAATTGTAACGTTGTAAACTTGTAATTCACCCTAACCCCCAATTTGTCAAATTTAGCAGGCAGCCACCTTTCTTGTTTTTTTTCTATCCTTTGCTTTGTTTCTTTCTTCCGTTGAGAGCCTGAGGACCTTTGTGCAAGTCAGGAGGAGCCCCCGAGAGCAAAAATTGAGAGCAAAAATTGTGGTGGCATCATGATGACCTTGGTCATCATGATGCCTCTACTTTTATTATTTTTTATATTAATTATTTTTAAATTTTTTAACGGTTCTGGAACCGGCGGTTCTGGTTCTGGTTCTATTTTTTAGAGAACCAGAACCGGAACCTTTATCCAAGGTTCTACTACGGTTCTGGTTCCGGTTCTGGTCCGGTTCCAAACGGTTCGGTTCCGGTCCGGTTCCCGGTTCCAAGTGGAACCATGGCCATGCCTAGGGGAAGAGGATGGAAAAGGCAGAGCGGATTTTGACCTATATTGACTAAGCCACAATTGTCGGAGGAAATTTGCCAGAGAAGTTGAATAATGATAGTCTTAATGCATACTTGAGTGTTGCAAACTTATATATTACACGACTGAAACAAGAATAATTAGTAACAGAAAAGAGGAAAAGCCTAATAAGCAGGAAAATTTGTTCAATCAACAATAACCTTTTCAGAGTAAAACACCCAATCAACAGTATACGTGGAACTGAAGTATGTATTTCCCAGCTTCAACCTACCCTGCCTTTTCAGACTGGAAGCTAATGTCAGAACAATCTGCAACCGGAAGTCAACATATATCGTGGCACAGCCACCAGAAATGATCAATTGTTTCCATATGGTTACAAAGCATTTGCAAGAATTACAATTCCCATTTCTTTATACCCCCCACAAATTTTAACAAGATTTTCAACACAACAAAGAGTTACCATGAAGAAGTGTGACCTGTTTTTGGTCCAAGCAATGTCAATGAATATAATGCGTCCCACTTGGAATTTCGTTGATTACCAAGACATGATCGAGTCGAATGAAACAGTCTGCGTATCCTGCTACTTATGATTCTTTCCTTTTTTCAACTTGCTCTTTTCATGCATCCTCTTTTTCTTTTCTTCAGCGGTGACCCATTTATAATCTGCAGGAAGCAGAAAGGGATCTTGGATATTTTCTATCCTACTACTTGAGCCAACATTAGAAGAACTTGCGCGATTATAAGGGGTTTTTATCCACTGAAACCACGATGAACTTGAGGACTGCACAACTGCCGGGCTCTCACGGCCAGCTGTAGGACTTGAGGGGGGAGTTGAGAATTCATCCAGCGGTTGTAATTCTTCAAACTTTGTAAAAGTAACCAACACTCTAATTGTAGGAACCACTGGTATAGCAACCTGAAACAGGGTAAGGCTTCTCAGTGAAGGGTAACAAAAGGCAACTTCAATATGATCAAGGCAGTAAATTCTTGTTTAAACCTGTGAAAAAGGATAATTGCTTACAGAAGGCAAAAAGTGGGCACACCCTAAAAGTGCATGCCAAAGAACAAGATCTACTGTCCTATTGTATGCCTCTTACATAGAACGTATCAAAAGCAACCAGCAAAGGAACAATGCCAATGAACCAGAAAGTCACCACCTAAGTCTCTCACAAATAACAGCTCCCACATCCCACCCATGTGAGCTATTTATACCCAAGCACATTCTAAATCAGGACCCTCAAGAGATTCAAACCAACAGCACAAGAACAAAAAATCTCAATAGGCAGGCATCATTTCTGAAAACCATTTTCAACTTTTGCCAAAAAAGATGACTAAATAAATAATAAAGCACCTGATGATGTGAATTTCCAAGTCTTGTTTGTAAGCTGTGAGAACAATTTGATGCCCAGATTGAGTGTAACAGAATGAAAATTAGCAAAAAGCAAAAGTAAAGCCAAAGAGTACTGCTCATCACTCTTGCAGCTAAAAGAAAAAGAGGAGCTAAAATTTAGCTAAGCTAAGAAAAATAACTAGTAGAAATGTAATCAGTGAATGCTGATTTCAAAATGAAATCCAACAGAAAGGAACAAAGGAGCATGACAGTTCTTTTCTTTTGGCATCATCATCTACTTACATGTTTCCATCAACGACAGTTTCAATCTATAAGAACTCAAAGTGTCCTAATATGACGACATCTCTTAGGGAAACCGATTCTTGTGATTCTCATTCTCAATGCCATTTATTTTTTCCGAAACAAGAATTTTAACTAGATCTTAAGAAGTAATAGTAGTGAACTTTCTTAAGAGTCCATCAATCACTACAAACAATTAGAAAATGAGACTATGCTTAGTGTATTTGAGAACACTTAAGAAGTAATGACTGAAGCAAATTTCTCATTTTCTAAAACAAGAGAGCATTAATTTAAGAAAGCAAAAATTTTCTTTCACACATTAAAGAAGGTTCTGATAGAATTACTTGCTAATAAGACACTCCCAAAGTTGACGTAAAATTTTACATCAACATAGTAGCAACACTCCCTTCAAAGTCAACATACTCAACTAGTATGCTGTAACTGGAAAACGTGGAAATGTCCAATACCAAATGCAAAGAGTCCTGAGAAACCTAGTATAACTCTGACCCATGATCCATGATGTTTGCACAATTGAGTTCCATCATCTAACAATTGTGATCCTAAGAAACCCTTTCTCCATGAAAAATTCTACAGAGGAAAAGGTCACATTATCTGAGCCCATCCAAGGTAAAATTCTTTCAACCTTGAGAAAACAAGCTTTCTGGAAATTTTAAGTTATAGAGAATGATTTTTCACGTTGCTATTCATATGTTCCCCAATATCTTGTAAATTCAAAACCTTAATGTCCATTTGAGCAGAAAATTCAAAAGCCAAAGTTTCGAAGGAGAAGGACAAAAATATGGTTCTTGTTTTACTTCCACCATCCGTTCAAATTTAATCTAATTTGCTTTTAAAGTATATATTCAGCCAGCATAAGCATAATAAGAGTCTAAAGAAACAAGTAAACATGCGGAACATGCTAGAGTTTGTTAAGCTGCAATCAAAGCAACTTTTCCAAGCAGAAGCACAAAGATATGGATCTCTTTCTTCCAACTTCCCTTCAAATTTAACCTAGTTTTCTTTTAGAATATATGCAGCCAACAAAAGCATAATGTGAATCTAAAGAAAACAAGTGAATGAAGAGAACATGCCAGAGTTTGTTGAGCTGCAATTGAAACAATTGTGGTTGTGTTATTACAATAGTTTCTATGGGCAACTCAATTTGCATCTCAGGATGATTGAAAGATATCCAAAAAAATTTTACTTTGAAACATCCTTTTCACAAAAGTATTTAGGTGATTCACTATAATTTGATATTCTGAAGACAGGCATTCAGTCGTAACTTGGTATGCTTTCACTCTTAATTAATCGTCTCACATATTTAGCATGAAGGGGTAGTTTTTCTATACATTTTTCATACTAAGGCTCTTGGTTGTCTAAATTTTTATCATTGAAGCGACAAGTTTGTGTTTCTTCTTTTCTCTAATCATTAGCAAGAAACCTTTGAGGGACTCACTCCTTAACTGGAGGGAAGGGGACCTCGGGGGAAGGGGGGTTTAATTTTTTATTTAGTCTGCCTTCTTTGGTTACCTATTCTACATTAAAAAATACGAAATATTTCTTCTTTCTTTCTAGTGAATTATGTAATAATCACTGCCTCATAACCTCTTCAAGCCGTAGTTACAGTAATTCTTGAAATACCAATAAAGATATGAAATCAATGAGGGAGTTTCAAAGTTAACTTAGCAGCTGATGGAGTTGGCGTAATACAATTTAACACATTCATTAAACATATGAAAGTCCTTGGTAAATTCATTTCAATAAAATCCCATCCTTTTCGGAGTAAAGGAGAAAAGGTCAAGATATTACACCCTAACTTTTCACCATGAGTTAGATATTTGCCAAAGACAATAATTCAAAAAAATGTTCACTTGAAAAAAGTGACTGCTTTGTTTAAAAGAGATTCATACACTTCCTTCTGCCCTCATGATACAAAATAAAGCGAAGAAAAGACAATAAGGCCACTAAACCAACATGAAACCTCTGCATTCCATGGTAAGAGATTTATTAGTCCCCTTCTCCCTTCCAGTAAATAAAGTTCACTATGCAATTCAGACAAATGTAAGACTGCGAGTCCTTTAAACTAACAATACTACCCACTATAAAAGCAAGTCATTTTTTTTCTTATTCTTTTTTTCTTTAAAATTTTTTGGTTAGAGGTAAAGAAGACAGGCTTAACGCTGAGACTCATTTTTCTTAGACAGCTCATTCTCAAAAGGTTTGTCATCTTTATCTTGCAACCATTATTATTTTATTTCCATTTTCATGGATTTCCTTCTCCATAGTTATTACGTCATTGACCCCACCTATTCATTTAAAGATATGAACAAAGTGAAGCAACCTCAAAGCTTAATTTGAGAGGAATAATCAGCGTCTTTAACAGAATCAACAGGACAGATATGCTTTCTATAAGTCAAAAGCAGATTACACGCAAATGGTCAAAACACAGCAGGATTCTGATTGTAGCTAAAATACAGACCACCAATATTATCTCAATTCCCAATACATTCCTGTGCCTTTTACAAAATGATAGCCTAGCGAAAGTATCATTCCCTGATTCTGATAGTATAGACAGAAGGTTATGTAGTGGTGTCTTAAATGAACGAGAAGAAATGATGACAATCAGCACGTAGCACGAGTAGGCCGGTGAAATATGTTGTAAGATTGTACACAGATTCATAAGAGTTCAATTTCTGGCCAGCAAAAGAACACATGTATCAAAAAAAATTTTTTTTTTTTGAGAAATGCAGTCGAGACAAATTTTCAAATAAAAAGAAAAAACAAAACATTCTCCTGAATTAAAAACCAACAACACATTTGCTTGACATAATGAATATCCTCACTACAAGGCAGTAACAAAATTCAAATCCCTGAAGTCCCAAGGTTCAACCACATAATAGAACGAGAATCCTGGATTCCTGACTACTTCTCTAATAGCTAGTTTGGGAGTTTAGGTTAGAAAAGAAAAAAGGGGAAATGTTAAGTTATGAAAGGAAAGAAAAGAAGAGAAGGGATTTTAATGTTGTTTGGTAGTTAAGGTAAGAAAAGGGATGATTTTGGATACATATGTCAATAAAAATTAGTTCAATACACATTTGAGGACAAAGACTCCCAAACGTTAGAAAAGACATCTTTGTTGTCACCTTCCTTTCTTTTCTGATCAAATCACAGCTCCCAAACAAGCTATAAGTTATAGAGTGTGGAGACTGGAGAGCCACTCGATAATGAAGCTAGGAGGTTACTTGAAAACAAGACCTTTTTTTTTATCACTTTTTGGCTGTTAGACCATAACTTATATTACACAATGTGTTAATTAATTCACCTAAGTTGCAGTAAACTTTTTCCAACCATTCTCGCTCATTCCATTTCAAGAAGGGCTATGAATCCCAATTTAAAGAATTGCTTGGCAAAAAAATGAGGTAGCTAGCATGTCTGCTATATTAGAGAAAGCTCAGAGAGATGATAATTTAGTAACCTAGGTTTAAATAAAATAAAAAATGGACAGGAAATGTCACGGATAACTTATACAAGCATACCTTGACAGGAAACGTCCCCTTTGGAAGCTTTGTTGTCAGCAGTTCTCTTAGTCTCCGTATGGCTTTAACTTTGTTTGCTAGAATGTCAAGCAATGGCAGAAATTCTTCAGTTTGCAGCGGAAAGTCAGGGGAAAGCCAGAGAACTGGTCTCAACCCTTTCTTATACTCATTCTCACGGCTCCCATCCTTGCGCCGACTCCCACTCTCAGAACTAGTAGATGAAGAAGCTTTGTTTTCTCTACTTCTTCGATGCTCATGGTACTCATCCCTCTTCAAAGAAATCTCCATCGAATGCCTCCCTGGTTTATTTTGACTTCCAGATGGAGAGTCTCCAAGAAGATCACTAACTTTATCTTCTACATAAAGGGAACTTCTTGGTGGGGTCAGTTTCTTATCTGCTTCACTTTTATTATCCCTTCTCCTCCAGCCACTGAACCATCCTTTTCTTTCCTGCTTTTTATCTCCAGTGACCCAACCATTAGTATCCTCAATAGGAATATCCCTCGGCTCGTAACAACTATGACGATGAGCAATAATGCCATCACCAATCTCATTGTTTGACTCAGAAGGATCCGTCTTAAGTGCAGCCTCAAGTTGCCTTCTTTCATCCTCAGTCAGAATATTGTCAAGCTCCTCACTCTCTGTCTCATTTTCATTGCAAGAATTGAAGAATTCATCATCAGTCATAGCTCCAGGGACTCTCCTTGATTTTATGCTTACAACCACATTATGCATATCATAAACTTTAGACTTCCACGGGCCCACCATCTCTGTCCTCTCCTGCCGCCTCCAAGTCAGCTGTGGTAAAAGAACCGCTTGAGTGACATCAATTCCGGGCCTAAATATATTAGTTTGAGACATTGCAGCGACTTCTTGCTGGACTTCTGCATCAGTTGCAGGGGCACCAGCACCATCCAAAGCATTCATGATTTCCTTATCTTTGTGAGATATCATGCAAAGGGACCCTGGAGGAACCTTCCCATCCTCAGAACCATCACCAAGGAAGAGAATGCTTTGATCTGCACGCTGAATTCTGAAGCCATCAAAACCAGCCAAACTCATATCTGCCCGTAGATTTGCGCCCCTTTTCCAAATCTTGTAAGTATCTGAAGGGGCAATCCTTGAAATAAAAGGAATAACAGAGCTCTCAAAGTTAAATGTAATTTCCATGTAAAAGTCCCTCATCCTTCTCATTGTCGCAACCAACCGAGGTAATCTTCTGCACCATTTAGCCCAAGCCAGTGGCTGATAATGCCTAACTATACACCTAGCTATCACTTCCTCCCTATTACAAATCGCTTCCTGTAGAGCACTCCAACCCTGTTCATTTTGCAAACTCCAATCTGCACCAGCAAGCATCAGCATTTCAGTTGCAGTCTCATCACCAAGTTTCACAGCGATATGTAGAGCTGTATCACGGTTAGGAACATCCCGTCGGTCAATCACTACAGAAATAGCATCAGCCTTAGCTTCTTCAGCCACCGAAACTGCTTCACTATGAATCTCAGCCGGGTCACAAAGCCGTGGAAGACCCGCAATTATCCTCCTGAGACCGGCATAATCTTTCAAGATTATGGCTTTATGGACAGGGCTATGGGCATATTTCCCCACATCTATACTAGCCATGTCTCAGGAGTAGAACTGTTATGCCTACCCCAAACTACACTATTCTATTGAAGTGCAGTTCTATCATCCAATCTCCTTAAAATCAATGTAAACCAAAAGTAAGAACTCCCCACCTTCCAAGCCAATACTAAAATTACGATATCAAAACAACTATTTCAGTATCCCACAATAAATCTCTCAAAAACCCAGAACTGCAGTCAAGATTTCAACCATTCAAACATTCGGATTCACGAAATAAAGCAAACCCCTTCCGGAATTAGCCCCATATTTAAGTAAATTCAAGAATTCAACAGGATCTCTCCCTAAACTGAGAGAAACCCGGTTCAAATTCCAGCCGAGTTAATACAACAAAAGTAATGCAGAAGCAGAACAGACATCCCAAAATTCTCAGAAATACAAAAAGCAAGAATCTTGGCAGGGTCCCAAAGGCTAAAAGATCCAAAAGGGTGTTAAGAAATCTCACCTTCTCACCTCGTTCTTTCTTCTCCTCCTCCTGATGAGACTCTTGCAAAAAGACCCTTCCCAAAAAACACTGAACCCCACAATACTTCTTTGCTCCCCTGTTTTTACACTGTTTTTTCTGAAACTCAAGAATGAAGGAAGGAAAAAAAAAAGAAAAAACAAATAGAGATCCTTGTGATCCAATCCAGATCAGACACGCCCAAGAACGTGCATGTGGGGAGGTGCAAAAAATGCTAAACCAAGAGAAAACAAAAAGAAAAACAGAAAAAGAGGGAATTTTTATAAGAAAAAAATTGGGAAGGCTTAGGAAGTGAGGGGAATCTTGAAAAGGATTGTGAAGGACTGAAAAGTAGCAGAATCAAAGAAAAGAATTGCACTATTGCACTAAGAAAAGCATACAAAGACAAACCCCACCAGTCAAGCAAAGGCTAAACTTGCTTATGTTAAAATAGAAATATTCATTTATTTATTATCAATTATATTTATTTTTAACACTCTGAAAAAGGTCAAAAAATAAAAATAAAAAAAAGAAAAAAGGTAGGGGAATTCACAAGAAAGAAAAGGAGGGCAGTTTGCATTCATTTCCATTTATTAGTGTAGCACTTATTATTCACATTCACACTTCTAGAAAGAAAGAGAAGCAAAATAAAGAATCCATTTTTTTTCTTTACTTTCCCATAAAAAGAAAGAAATGAATGTTAGAGAAAGAAGATAAATGCAGGGGTAAATTTTGTGCTGGTCAAGGAAGAACATGAGTAAGTAAAGGAAAGGAACCCTTTTTTTTTCTTTTTTTGACCTCTTTTAAAAGATTTTGATTTATGGGTTTTAACTTTTAACCTTTTTTTTTCCTTGTTCTTGGGTACATCAACATGGGTTTCAACTTTTGTGCTCTTTTTGGTAGAAAGGAATTGCCAGAAAAGAAAAGAAAAAAAAATTTGGGATGGGGTTGTTTTTTTGGGTTGGGGCGGGGGGAATCTGAGAAGTGGGGCCAATGTTTTTATTGGAATTAAAAATTTAGAATTGAAATGAGAGGCTGTGGGTGAAGTGGCTACTGTGTGTGAAGAGACAAAGAAGGTACAAATTTATGAAGGGTGCATGTGAGCCAGGAATTTGTTATTTTCTACAGCTTTGTATAAAATTTTTTTCTTATTTATTTGGGACCAAATCCCCAAATAGGCCTTCAACTTTTTTAGTAATTCACGTTTAGTCCTCCATCTTAAAAATTAGATAGAATGCCATTCTAACAAAATTTTTTGGGCCAAATTGGTCCTTATATAATAGGACAGTCAAGAAAATTCAAATTTCACCATCATTTTGATCCGACTTTTTCTTGCCTGTTCCGCTATATAGGGATCAATTTAGTACGAAAAAATTTATTGAAGAATCATTCTGTCCCATTTTTAAGATAGAGGACCAAATATAAATTAGTAAAAAAGTTGAAAAACTATTTGAGGAATTTGATCTTTATTTGGTCAAAATTTTCAATTATTAAATTATTACTTTAATTTGTTTCGTTAATAATAGCAGGCCACATGAATTGTGGAATAATGGTAGGTGAGGTCATAACACTTGTTTAATAGTGGACTAATGGTAGGTTAGACTAGGCTTTGTCGGACTTTTATGGAGTCAATACAATATTACTAGTGAGATCTGTGGGTTCCGAACCGTTTCCTTGTTGGTTTGGTTTGTTATATCTCATCGGACCATTAGACGAATTCGTTGTGTGACTTTTGTTTTACATTTTCTTTTGTTTTTGGCTTTTCTACTTCAAATTGCAATCAGCCGTGTGACTTTTGTATTCCTTATCATGGAGGTAAAAGATAATTATTAATACATAGGGGTGATGATTCGAGATCCTATACATGTATAAAAAAGACTTTGCTGCTGACTTTTTGAGAAAATTTCATCTACCATGTGTGGAGAGGTAAATATGGAAGAGGAAAAGTGTAATCTAAATGCTTAAGTGCAAAGTACAATATGGTTATGCGTGCTTCAATACGTTATTCCCATAGTGCCCTTTTAAATGTGGGTGTAATAAACCCGTGTAATTAATACAAATTATAATCAGTAATTGAGGCAAGTTTGAGACAATATTAATGTGTGAGAGCTATTAAGTATTATTATCATATGAAACTTACTTTATTGCCTATAAAGTTGCTTTCAGAGTCATTTTAAAAAGATTGGTTTTTAAGGTATTTCACGCTAATTAATAATGTAGGAATTCTCAAGACACCTTTTTGGCTTATTGATAAATCATAAATAGTTTCTTATGGCTACTGTTAGGTTCATGAGTGAAGGGTCATGTCCCACATTGGTTTGAGAGATAGAGAAAGAGCGGTTAATATGTAAGTAAAGGCCCAAGACCTAATTGCTTAAGTTTTTGGGTCAGAGTTGGGTTCCTGACTTACATATTGGGCTCTTTGGTGGATTCTTTCGAGATATTTCTCCCTATCAAATTGGTATCAAAGCTTCAGGTTGCGAGACTGGGTTACTCATGGGTAAGCGGATTCTTTTCGGAGTTGGACTAGTAAAAATTCTATTTTTGATTGTAGACCAAAGTGTCAAGGAGTTTGGTTGATTTTGGACCAGGTGTGCCATGAGTTTGGCAGGGGTCCGGTTGGTGTTAGACAAAGAAGCCTAAAAGGTTGGTAGGGGTCTAGAATGTAGTTTGGATGTTGAAGAAGAGTGTGTCCATGTTTGGGAGAAGAGGTGATCTTAGATGATAAGGTGGACTTGCATTGATTATTAAAGTGAGCTCGAAAAAGAGCTTGTAAATTTGGGTTTAATGTGGGGGTTACTCATGAAGAGGGAGATTTATTAAGTTCATGAGTAAAGGGTCATGTCCCATATTGGTTCGAGAGATGGAGAAAGAGTGGTTAATATGTAAGTAAAGGCCCAAGACCTAATGGCTTAAGTTTTTGGATTAGAGTTGGGTTCCTGACTTACATATTGGATTTTTTGGTGGACTTCTCTCAAGGTGTTTTTCTCTATTAGCTACTACAACTGATTGCCATTATTAAATTTGCATTAATTTCTTAACAACATCATAGGTTATTAAATTTGTACCAATCTCATCCTGTCTTCACATTTAGTTGTTTATATTCCTACTTCTTTTCCCCTACCAATCCTTAACGCTTTGGATTTTGGCTTTTCTTTCAAACTACAAATAATAAGAAATAATCGTTCAAGTAATCTCATATTTTCTTTAATCCAAAAATATCGGTTGTTGGCTCCATTTCTTTTACATGTTGAAATTCTCCATATCTACTATTTAATTTTTTTCCCTTCCATTTTTCACTGATTCTAGTGCATGATTTTATTTGTTGATAGTAGTTAAAGTCAGCCACTCAAAGGAATTGCGGTTGGGATTTGGATTATTTGGCTTTAGCAATATGTATGAATCAAAACTAAAATGGTTGCGGATGATTTTTGTGCTCAAATTGATGCTCCTCCTCATCAAAGGTGAATTTCTAGCCCAAGAAAGAAATAGTGAAAGAACAAACAATTATTAGTGATAAAAGCATTTTTTTACTACGATAATACTAAAAAATTACTGGAAATTATTTTTCTGGTAGGAAGATTGTAGTTTTATCTAGGTGTATTTGAGTATTGATATTGCAAAAAATCCTGATAGGAAGATAATTGATGGCTTAGGTTTGGATGGATTACAGGTACTCTAGGATTAGTCTTGCCAGTTTCAAGTCAACAAATACAATTAAAGGACAGAGAGTGTTGATCAACCAATTAAAGGATGATGATCTTTTTGTTATTATGAAGGTTGTAGACAAGATCAATGGGAAATTGGTCTCTTCAGATTTATTGATAATACACATATTCCTATTTATTACTACTTGTGATGAGTGGGTTATCTCTTTTAATTTGCTTTTGTTTTGTTGCACTTTCTTCTCAATTAAATTACGAAATTGTTAAGCATCACTTCAATTGCTCTTTCATCATTGGATTACCTTCTTGTATACTTTTTTGTTTTGCTTTCTTCCGCTTTCTTCTTAGAAATTTGTTAATTGTTACCTCAATAACTTTTTCACCACACAGGTGCTAACTCCAAAGGTACTAACTCTCGTGTATTGCGCGGGATCTCTTCCTAGTTTTTATAATCGGAGGCAGTATGTATTGGGTGGTTCGGTAAAGAAAGTGTAAGTAAGAGATTTTGAATTCGAACTTGCTTACTTACACTTTAAAAAAAATATATATTTTTATAGTAGTTTCAACTTGAATTAAAAAAAAAAAGACTTTGAATTCAAATTCAAACATTGAAGTTCAATAAAAACTCTTTCACATAGCCAAAACTTACTTGAAATTTTTTTTTTTTTTTTTGTCTTTGTTCTCCATCATTCTTTTTTTTTGAAGGTAGTCTGCCAAGTCCCAACAGGTAATATTGAGCAAAAAGTTTTTTAAGGTTGTTTGCTATAGATATTCCGTGAATTTGTCTCACCATTGCGGAAACATTTCGATGGCAAGCAATTTTAGTATTGCTAATGCAGCCTAACTGTGTCAAATTGTTACATGCTTATTTCTCCAAGTTGCTTTGTGTACAAAAGAGGACAGAGGTGTTAGAAGCCAAAATAACAGAAACAGAACTTTTCTATGTTAAAAATTTTTTGGCCGTTAAACTAAAGCCGGAAAAAATGCTCTATCATTGGTGTAAAAAAACCTCATTTTCAAGAAGAGGAATCAGAAGGCGTGATTTTTTATTTTTTTCCCTGTATTTCAAGTTTCAACGCCTTTAAGAACAAGATATGGATTCTCTCCTGATCCGCATCCTCGCTGCTTTAATTTTCATCTCTTATTCACTTCAGCAATGCAAAGTACTAATGCGAAACGTCTGCCTTGACATACATATGCATAAAAGAAAGAAAAATACGGTAAATGTTGGCGTGATTATCAATTCAACAAAATTCCCATCAAAACTTATCAACCCTATGTCGAGCCTTTGATCAAATTACTTGCGAGTCCAAGTTGAATCGCTTATTTGGATTATACCCCTAAGCGTTACACTATCATGTAGTTGGTGTATGAAAATTCATATATAGTAGTAGATAATTGTTGAAGTATTTCAAGATCACAATTGATCAACGACAGGACTGATTGGGATTCTCTAAAGTTGGAAAGATTTTATACCTTAGAAACTAAAGTGTTCCATTTTGAAGTTTAGAAACTAAAGTAAAAAAAAAAAATCATGCATAATTGAGGGGTGTAAAGTGAAATTAACCTTTTTTTTTTGGAAGATTTAAAGTCACATTGCATTGGAGTTTGACACTCCTAACATAATGTATAGCCTTTTTTGTATCATGTATGGTACCAGGACTAGAAGTTCAGAAACTTCGTATGATTAAGGAGTAGTATAGTGAGAAAACTTAAAACTCAAGAGAAGAAGGGCAAATCCCAGAAATGAAACTACAAGTTTAACCATAATCAACTAAATAATTAAAAGATTGAAAAATTAATTAAATAGTTATGACAAATAAATTACCAACACTCTTTTTCAAGTCGATTAACTACCAACTGTTACTACTACTAATTAAGCAAGCTGGGATTGTCCATAAGCATCCGTGTGAGAAACTTGCCTAGGCATAGTAGGAAGCCATGGAAACTTATGATTAACCTGTTCCATGGAGCCCTCAAACTCAGCAAAACCACCTAAGAAACCTCCACCAGAATTTGCAACCCCTCCAAAATTCTTCTTCACCCTTAATCTAAGCAGAGAACAGGTGGAAATTTTCATTCCTATTTCTTCTTCACCCTTATGAAAGGATCGAGAAATTTGATATTGAGTTAAGCAAATATGCAGCTTCCTATTTCATTCTTATTTCACATAAAATAGGAGACCTCTTTTTTTACAACTTTTATTTTAATAGTGTAAGTAAGAGGGTTCAAATTCAAGAACTCTCGTTTACACTTTTTTCCTTCAAACTAGCCAATCCATCCCTTCTTCCAATTGATGGGCGACCTCATGTGATATATCAAAACTCAAGAATTGCTTCAAATCCCTAAATCTGGAACAAAAAGTTTTAATAAGATTAATTACTTCCTTTTCAGATTAATTAAAACTACAGTGTTTTTAAAATGTTTCTTTATCTTTAGTACTCCAAACATTACATTTGAGAGGAAAGAGGTCCAAAAACTTGCAAATGTGCCCAAAGTTTTAAAACTACTGTGTTTTCCTTAACTAAAAGCTCTTCACAGAGAATATCAACGTGATTTTAGATGCAAGCTACGACCAAGTTGGAAAAATATTGGGTAGAATAAAAAAAAATCCAGAAAGTGCCTTGATAGCTGAACTGGTAGATGGCGAAGTAGCCACATTGATCACTCACCTCTTCGGCAACTGGTTTTGTACAACTAACTAACAAATACCCAACGAATTTGGAGCTTGATCAGAGACATAATTAGCTCCGGGAGAATTGATTGGTTCAAATAAGAGATAGTCCGGGTCCCTCTAAACTCAACCCATCCAATGAATAAATTAGTTTTTCCTAATTCAATCTACCAAAATCAATCACCCAATTTATCCAACCCATCCTTTAAAATTAATGGGCGAGTTGCGTTGGTTGTTGGATTTTGGGTTTGATTGCCAAGTCTGAGATTATGCATCTTTAATCATGACAATTTCAATGATATTGAAGGTGCTCTTATAATGTTTGCACATATATACGAAGATACCGAAATAGGTATAGATGTGATGTAGAATCCTTAAGGACAAGACTAGTCAAATTATAAAGGAGAATCCCTTCTCCATATTGTTGCTCTATAGTAATAAGTGACTAAGGGTTACAAACGTATCCACAGCTCCTCCCACGCTGTAATGTGTGCTCGGATATATATTATGGTACATTAGTTTAGTATCGTTTATAGAAGATTGTAGTAATATTTCACTGTCACAATAGACCAACTATAGGTCGGTTGGGATTCCCTAGTAGCTAGCAGCGCCTTGATTCAGCCACTGCGCAGGAAAGGTGCATTAACATTGTCGACAGAGCAGAAGAGACATGGATGCTGCCATGGTAATTTAGCTCTACATGCCTCCACCAGCTGCTGATTGGTGATCAGACCACGTTGCTCGTTCAAGGAGTCGGAAAGTGCACTACTAAACCTGCCATGAGGACGAGGACCACTTCCATCATCATATGAGTTTTCATTGAACTGGCATCCACTGAAAAGAATGCCTTCGTCAACGTCGGACGACTTCACCACTTCAGCATCAGCTGGCACTCAAAACTTCAGGCTGGCATCAGTTCCGAAGACGTTTAGCAAATGTGCCCTCACATCCGGGCTGTTTAAGCCCGTCAAAGGTTTCAAATGCTGCATAATTTCTGTGATGGGCATTACTTTGGCTACGAGGGATGTGTCGTTGGACTTTGGGGAGTAGCAAACATCTGGAAGAAGGCCAGGTCCAACTTGCTCCTTCAACTGATCAACTAGCCCCCCCCCACTATTGCAGGAGTCCGCCACTAGAACGAAATCAGCACGTTCTGGCATGTGATTTACCATATCAAGAAAGTCCACACCTGTATTTCATAAGTAATAATGTATAAGTTCATTATTTCGAACTACAAACTCAAATCAATCTGTTTCTTCTTAATTGCTGAGAAGTTGAAGAGCATATTTGTGTAAAATTGATATGAAACTCAGAAATCTAGGCTTTGGCATGGTGGTATTATATTCTAAACTCATTGTAACTGAGATTGCAGTCGCAGGGGACAATTGCTTCCTCTCTTTTGGAGTCTGAGCCTTCCCAAAAATCTTGAAATGTTCCGTGGCCCCTGAAAAAGAACAACAAAATGTCACCGCCCTTTGCTCTCTCAATCATCTGATAGAGTGCTTTTTTTTTATGTTCGCACCAGTGGGCAGCAAAGCGGAGCCAGGCTCATCGGTGAGAATTTGCAGATTCTCGGGCTGAACCCGTGCCTAGATGTCAACAGTTCTTGCATTATTTTGACATCATTATAGCAGCCTTTGAGTGCACCCTTAGTGTCTAGATAGCAGATACCAACCAAAACAGCAAACTTGGCCATTAATTTTCTGATAACATAGAAGATTGAGAGTGGTACAAACGGAAATACTAAGTTGAAATGACTCTGGGCGAATGGTACAAGTGGGAGGCATGTTAATCTGAGAAATTTATACGGGTTTAAGGACTAGTTTCAAGGATAATCACGTCACGCATTTACTTCAATAGATATGACTTCTGATCTCATGACCTTCTTATTCTTTTCATTGTTTCTTTGCATGTTGATTGGGGTATGATGCTCTACTTTCCCATTCTGTACTTGTTGATTTTGAGTGCCTTGAAGAATCTTGAATTTTAGCAACGCAGGAATAAGGAAATTTTCAGTGACATTTAACTTCCTCGACTGCTTTGCTTTCTGAGTGCGCAAGGCAATTTTCACATTATCTTAATTGTTTGCAAACCTCCCCCCACCACAAAACCCCTCCCACCCCAGCCCAGCGCAAGCACACGTAAGTGACTTTTTGTCGCAAGATCCAAAGTCCAAATTGCTGTGAAGACTTGCTCTCCCAACAGAACAGATCTTGATTTTTCTTTTCCTTGGGTGCAATTGCAGTAACATAATATAGATTTGATAATAATATGCAAAAGTGTTTCTAAGTTACAGGGGTGAAGTTGCACATTTGTACCTCCCAGCACATAAGGCCATTTTTTGGAAGTGAAAAACACATTACCTCTAAGTCTTGCCCTCCTAAGTACTATGCACACGTGGTTCCACCATGCGACTATATCAATCAAGAGGCACTTACTTTTGGTTGTATCATGTATATAAAGTAATGTTTTCTGGTGTAATTAAGCATCCATTTTACATTATGCTATAGAGATGAAATTGTACATTTACACTGCGCACCCAGCACACGTAAGCCTTATTATTTGAAGGGTTAACTCTACTTTGTACGCTTCAACTGTATTCAAATTCTCGCTTTGGTATCTAAATTTTTAAAATAGGACACTGTAGTTCCTAAAATATAGAATTTTTCAACCAAATTGAAATAGTTGAGGAAAGTGAGACAGATTTTATGTTTCAATGAGATAAATTTGTTGTGACAAATTTTATACTTAGGGACTAAAATGAGACATGATTTATACCTTCTAGATTAAGGTAGAAAATGTTTTATACTTTAGGAACTAAAGTGTTCTAATTTGAAGTTTAAGAACCAAATGAGAATTCGATATATTTAAAGGGCGCAAACTGAAATCAACCCGTTTTTGGAGGACTTCAAATCACATTAATTGGAGTCTTGCTCTCCTAACACAACGTATCATGATTTTTTCTTCAATGCAATTATTATAACAACTTATAAATTATAAGATAATATGCAGAAATGGTTCTATGATACGACTATGTTGATCAAATTTCAAGAAGCAACTAATTTTGTTTGTGCAATGTGTGTCAGTTCACTAGCGTAATTGAACATCCATTTCGTTGATAGTCAAAAAAATTGGCATAGGCATGATCAGCTATTGGCTGGCTGGAATGGAGTTCCATGTAAATTTTTAGAGCGTTTACTTGCTAAAATTTGAGGGCCGGTTTAAGCATTTCATCATTCGTTTTCCCTCTTCTCTTTCTACCTTGAACAATGCAACCAATTTCTAATTCAAAATTCTCTTTGTGAATGGACCCATTAGTGAGACTGAAACAAGTAAAATAATTTGCTTCACAAATTTCAATCACCTTTTTATCTTTCCAATTACGTTTTTATCTCATATACATCACATCACAAAAAATGTTACAGTAATTATCTCAAATAAATCATCCAAATAAACTTCCATCCAAACAAACCAATGATTCAGAAAACAAATCTTCCTAACCCGTCATGTCATTCATGTTGGGCTTAACAAAGACATAATTGTGGGAATTATTAAACGTAAAGCGCTTTCATAAAGTTGAATCCATTTACCAATCTTTCACAAAAATCCACTTATCAAAATACCCAAGTGAACCTTTACAAAGAAAATTCCCCAAGACCCAGGTCATTTAGTAGGGATATTAATTATGTAACCCTAAGATTCTGACTACTAGTTCTTTTTTTTCTTTCTTGAGATCTTCTATTAAAAAAACTATGCAAAAATAAATAGGCAAAACTATCTTGACACGAAATTTAGAAAAAAAAATTTGTTAGGTTAGGTTTAATAACTGCGGTTTTAACTAGTCATCCAATTTCTATTACTCTCAACAATTGAACAAAAAGACAAGAAACTTGTTTTAGATAGATCCAAAGATTAGTGACAGCTAAAGTAATCTTAGCATCAGATATTTGTCTTTTACATATCTGTAATGGAAATTTCAAGTACAATCCATAGTAAAATTAAACTTTTCTTTTTTTTTTGGTATATAATTAATATGTTTGTTACGTATGTAGAGCACATAAAAAGGGAAAAAAGTCCCAATGGCCCTTTAACTTTTTACCAAGTAAAATTTTAGCCCTCCAACAATTAAAAATAAAGTTTTGGCTCTCGATCTAATAAAAGAGCATATTCGTGGTCTTTCTGTCAAACCGAACAGTTAAGATTGACGGGAAGCATCATAACGTGAGATGTATGGCTGAATTTCAAGGGTGTTATAGTTTGTGTAGGAGTGTTTACCAAGTAACAAGATAGTAAAAACATTTTCACCATGGTTAATCGCACAATTCCCATCCATTTTGCTCCAAAACCCTAGTGTGAAAAAAATCAAACAACTTGATTGGGGTGTTGCAACAAAAGTGATAATCGCCGGCGTGGGAGAGGCTATGAAGATGCAAATGGAGTGGCAAATACCTTAGTTATTAAACTTGACCCGACAAAAGAGATGGGTCAATGGGTTATTGATTTAATCAGTGGGTCACTAAATATTTTTAAATATTATGTCTCATAATTTTTGATATGGTTGAAACTATAATAAATTATGTCATAATAAATGCTTAGTTAGTCTAATTTATTATAAAATCATTAATTCTTATAATAATTAAAGAATTAACAACTTTAATTTACGAGTAAATCTTATATACACTAACAGTATATACACTATCACCGTTGGATCTCTAACATATGTGCAAAAATTGAATTTTAAATTCAAATTTTGCATATTTGTCATTCATCCAACGCTGACAGTGTATGTAGAAAAGATTAACCCTAAATTTAATTACTAATCTACCAAACTTCAAGTATAAAATTTTATCTACATGTAATATCTAATTTATTTATGAATTTTAAGTGCAAAAGTTTATTAAAAACGATATTTGCTTTTAAAATGAATTGTGTAACATGTTATTTTTTAAATCCATTTCATAACTTATAGAGTTTAGGGAATAATAAAATGTTATTAAAAGATTCTAAATAAATTTTGTTTTGGAGAAATAAAATAAGAATAAAAATATAAAATATAATATAAGAAGAACAAAACAAATAACAAATGGATTGGTTTAGTGGTGATTGCACTCTACTTCTACACATAAGGTCCCATATTCAAACCTTCAATTAAGCATCTTCATAAAATTTTTCCCACAACATATAGCCCGGATTCCTTAGAAAACCAGCCGGTTCATTGGGTTGACCGATTGAATTACCGGTCCGTTAACAAGTCAATGGTCTAATTGTTTGAATGGTCCATCATATAGCTCGGGTTTCTTATAAAATTAGCCAGTTTATAGGGTTGATCAGTTGAATCGCTGGTCCGTTGACAAGTCAACGGTCTCATTGCTTGAACGGTCCAATTAAAGACCTAGTCCGACTCAGTTGCTGATTCACTGGATTGACCAGTTGAACTATTGCGTCAGGTCAGGTTTAATAAGAAAAATAAAACAACTAACAAATGGATTGTTAGTTCAGTGGTGATTGCACTAACAAATGGATTGTTAGTTCAGTGGTGATTGCACTCTACTTCTACACAAAGGGTCCCATGTTCAAACCTTCAATTAAGCATCTTCACAAAATTTTTTCCACAATAACATATAACCCGGGTCCCTTACAAAATCAGCTAGTTCATTGGGTTGAACGGTTGAATCACCGGTCCATTGACAAGTCAGCGGTCTAATTGCTTGAATGGTCTAACGTATAGCCCAAGTTCCTTACAAAACCAGCCAATTTACCGGGTTGACAGGTTGAACCACCGGCCCGTTGACAAGTCAATAGTCTAATTGCTTAAACGGTCCAAATTAAGACCTAGTCCAACTCAGTTACTGGTTCACCGGGTTGACCGGTTGAACTGTCGCGTCGAGCCGGATTTAATAACACTAGCAAATACTGAGAAGAGATGACTACTTTTATCCATACCTCGTTTATGGTAATTCAAAATCTTGTTTACTAATCCATTTGTGTTTAAGATTTGTTTATATGCACGCGCAATTGAAGGGAAATAAAATTTTTTTATATCTCTGGGTAATGGTGATATTGGGAGGTTAGGTGGTCCAATCTGTAGGTTCTGCCGTAGAAATTAGCATTTGAAATTATGGTCCTACCTTGTTTGTTGTAAATTCACAATGTCGAAAAAAGGGAGTTGTTTTGAAAGTGATGTATTTTAATGACTGAAAAGTAACAACTTTATTTCTTTAAGGTCTTTATTTGGCTAAATTTGACTAATTTAATATTTCATTTGTCAGTCTTTACGTGTTGTTTTGTTGTGTTATTGACCGTTTTATCTCAATTGTCATTGTAGAGTTTGATACTGAATTATTTACTATTTGAATGCATCATGGGGGTAGAATTATGCGGGAATAGTATGTATGGTATACTAATGGAGAGGTAGACTATATAGATGTTTGTGTTGCCAAAAGAATGTCAACTATTGAACTAAACAAATGGTAGAGAAAATAAGACATGGAAGAGCTGCCATAATGTACTACTACCTTGAACCAAACAAGGACGTAATGCACTGATGATATGTTAACAAATTTTGTGCTTGGGCTTATAAGTACAAGGTAATGGAAATCTATTGTAACCATTTAACAGTTGAAGAAATTAATAGTTGCAAGTCTCCCTTAGTGGTCAAACTAGCACAGTAGAAGAAGAGTGGTGTTTTGATTATAGAGTTGGATGAGGATGGTAGTATAGTAGGGGAACCATCTTCTCATCTAGTTCCTAAGAAGAG